CTCACCTTCCAAGAAGCAGTAAAATGCTTCTCCTCCACCTCCACTTCCTTCTCTTCTCCCTTCTGCTCCTCCACCTCCCACTTCAAATGCACATCATTATCATCATCCAGGAGCCTTCTACATACACACCTCAAAGTAAGTGAACTTTTCTACCATTTTTGTTGAATTTAGGCAATTTTCGGTGAGCTGGAACCAATTACCCAAAAACCCATTGAAACAATGGTTTCGGTTAACGAGATTTTCGGTTAACAAGCAACCTGCTGGTAATGGATTGTGCTCGTTAACCGAGGGACCACTGTGCATATACGTAAATTCAATGGAATTTTTATAGAAAATAGTGTACAGTATTTTATACAGCCATAAAGATAATTAAACTTAATCATTTTGTATTGTACTCACTGATGGGCAGAGGTGGAGAGAGTGTGTGGTAGGTAGTGGAGTGGAGGAAGGTGGGAGAGGAGGAGGGCGGGAGAGGAGGAGGGCGGGAGAGGAGGAGGGCTGGAGAGGAGGAGGAGGCCGGGAGAGGAGGAGGCGGGAGAGGAGGAGGGCGGGAGAGGAGGAGGGCGGGAGAGGAGGAGGGTGGAATAGGAGGAAGGTGGCGAATCACTGAGACCCGGAGGGTGGCTCCTCCTCCTGCTCTGACTGGGTGAGAGAGGGTGATGCGCCGTACACAGTAGTCCGTGATGACATTATACCGAATCGGCGGGACGTTGTCCGAATCATGGGTATCTAAAGAGTAGCGGCATTATAACGAAACAACGTTGTCGGGGGAAACATTAAACGAGGACTTACTGTAATATTATAAATAAAGCTGCTACCATAACGCTCCATTGGCTAACATCGTTCACCATTACACTAGCAAGATGTATTAGGTTGAGAATTCCACCCTGAATGGTTCTCATATAACCCATATTAAGGATACAAGGTCCATCCCAACATAACTCTTGATTGCTAGTAAGACCGGGAGGTCAGCGTCTGGTAAATTTGGTCGTTTACGCGGCGAGCGGCTGGAGAGGACCAGACCGCCGCGCCATTTTTTACCCACGCGGTCCATTCTTGACCATACGAGGGAAGCGGCGCGGTGAGGGGTGCACATTAGGCTGCTCTTACATTATCACTGACGTCATATAACGTATTGGACTGTGATTGGGCCACGCATCCTTACCACCCACGCATTCCCTCCGCCGCTAGCTGTGATTGGTCTAATGTAACATGATGTGCCCTGCCACCAGAGGGTAGAAGTCGCTGACCTAGCAGGGCCTGTCTCATTGTTCTCAGTCCGCGTATACAGTTCTCTCTTGTGCCCGCTATTCCCCTCACAACGGCTTCCGCTGGACCCCCACCACCAGAGAAAACCATTGAATTACCTGGACCAAGCCATGATAATGTGAAGGAATCATCGAGTTGGGGGAGAAACTTAAGCTCATCCTTGACAACGACCCCGACAAGCATCGGTATGAAGTGTCTAATAACCATCTGACGAAAGTTATGGAGCCATATATCCAGATCTATCTCGACAACATCAATGCTAGTCGTCAACGTAGTATTGAGGACTTCCTCGCCCGCAACCCACCACAACCACAGCCAGCCCAAGTTAGTGATAGTGATGGTGACAGTGAGGATATGGACTTTGAGGGGTTTGTCTGGGAGGCCCTGCAAACCTCTGCGAGTAGTGAAAGTGATTCACCGGAGGGCAACTAATCTGCCCTCTGCCTCGTAACCAGCCGCCATCCACGTGTGCCGACCCAGCTTTTCTACTAACGTAAGTGTTAAAAAACCTAATATTATTGATATTTCTCTTAATTATTGATTATGTGTGCATACCATCATAAAATTGAGATGTTATTTTTACTACAATTTACGTATTGTGTCGGAAAAAGTGGAGTTTGGGGGTTGGCCCAGTCTCTATTTCAATTAATCCCATATGTTCTGTTATTTCATTTACGCGTTTTTCGTTTTACGCGGGCCTCCACGGGTTCAATTGACAGCGTAAATGTAGACTATACTGTACTGTATATTCATACTAGCCCGGAAGGGCGAAAAACAACGTCATTCACTAAGTGACTTGAAAGCAGAGGATATTAGTCACTAACGATCTACTGTCTTCATAATAGAAGACGCGCTGTGGTTGCCATGCTGACCAGACCGTATAAGACCCAAACACAATATCTGAGACACATAAACAAAATAAAATTCACTCGATTACAACACAAATTAGCGGAGCCTTCTTTGTGCGTATTTACAGCTGATTCGCCAGGCAAGAAGATGACGGTAGCAATGCCTGTGATGGAAGGTGAGAGAGGGGGTTTTGAGAATTGCAATTAAATGCCAGGTAGCGACGTGTCCTCCTAATATTATGTATTAAATAATTATTAGATGTTTTAATTGCCTGTATGTTGGCTTGGCGAGTTATTGCTAGGCATTAACACACCTGGGTATAAAGCTAGATGTCGCATTCTGGATTGAACAAAAATACTGTTTTGCCATCCAGTAAAAAAAAAAGTCAAATGAAAATTAAACAGCCACCATTTGCATTTACATCTGTGCTCCCTGTTTACCATAGCAACAGCAACGCTACCTCCTCCGATTCCTGTAGCGCTCCCCCCACCACCACCACCACCACCACCACCACCACCACCACCACCACCACACACCACCACCACCACCAGCACTTGGCACCTTCATCACCTAGCCAGCTAACTCGTGTGCAAAGAAATGTATATTCCTTTTATGTGTTTGCCCTTAGGACAATTATTTCTTTTACTTTTTTCACAATATGTACATAGGATGGTGTATGTATATATGTATCAGTTAAAATAAATGAAGAAAGTTACGTATATCTACCCAAAAATACAAGTTGAAAAACAACAGCTTGGCCCAATAGCCTGGTGGTTACAGAGACCAGTTTAACCTGGCTACAATGTCGCCAGCGATGATAACAGATATAAATGTGAGAAGAAAATTATCTGTAAATCTTCATTTGTATTAGGTATTTGTAGATTGAAAAATAGATGTTGCAAGTATGGCATTTTTAGATTGTAATGCTTGTAAGAGTTCAGAAATGGTTACTACTTACCGGGTAGCTACCTCTGAAGACTTGGGTGTCTGCCGTACGGACGTTAATTGTCTCAAGTTACAGTGGTACCTCGGTTAACGAGCACAATTCGTTCCAGAAGGTTGCTCGTTAACCGAAAAATTCATTAACTGAAACCATTGTTTCAATGGGTTTTTGGGTAATTGGTTCCAGCTCACCGAAAATTACATACAAACGAAAAATAAATGCAGTAAAGTACACTTACTTTGAGGTGTGCATGTAGAAGGCTCCTGGTTGATGATGATGATGATGGGAATTAGAATGGGGGTGAAGGAGAAGGGAGAAGAGAAGGCATTGGGGTGGAAGAGAAGCATTTTACTGCTTCTTGGAAGGTGAGTCACCTTCCATGAAAATGTCAGGAACCTCTGGACTGACCCATAAAATTTTAGTTGACTTGGTGTAATTCAAGATTATTTTCTTTAAATCAACATTGCACTGCACTATATATTATCAATATGTAAAATATATTTGAAAATGACCAATAATTTGACTGGAAACACAGAAAAAAAGCATTTATGTTGAAGAGTCTCAAACAAGATGTTCCTTCCTCTGAACCTGTAAACAAGCTGATGCCAAACTTGGTGTGTTGAGTGGCTGTTTGGTGCGCATGAAACTAGTTTCCTGTACAGTACTTCAATTATGTTCAATAATTGTTAAAATGACTAAAAAATTTAATATAAAACGTTTAAAATGATTGTACAGTATAGTACAACCTTCTTGATATTTACTAAAATGGTAAGGAATTTAAGCCCTTGAACCGATTACTGTATTGGCGGACTAATACGACAGCTAGTGAGCAAGCGAAAACATGTTGAGGGGCGCTCGTAAGGAATTTGTTAATCCAGGGATTGCTCGTTAACCGAAGTGAAGAATCTTATGGAAGGAATTTCGTTAACCGAGGCGCTCGTTAACCGAGGGATCACTGTATCGTCATCAGTACAGTACAGAGTAGTTATAGATCGACCTTTTATATTTACAATAATTATTTTTTAATTAATTAAAAATCATAGTAATAATAATGGTTTTAAGTAATAACATTTTTAATTCTGGAGTTCGTTAGGTAGAATTTAGCCTACTGGAGACAGCAACTGGGGGAGTCATTAGCTTACGGGAGACTGCAACTTGACGTATAGGACAAAGGCTGATTTTTTTTTTTGCCATTTTTGGACAAAAAAGTGCATCTTATATGCCATAAAATATGGTAGTTTAGATGTGAAAATGGGTTTGTTAATGCATCTTAAAAGGGGGAAACAAGCTGTGGGTTTGACTAGAGCCCTGGGCTCAAGTTTAATATAATTTCTCACATTTTTCATATACAGTACATGCATGTACTGTACAGAACTGTATTTTCTTTTTTTTTCTTTTTTCTTTTTAAATCTAAAAAAAACCTTCGATCAAAGATAAACTGAATTTTCTCATCAATTAAATTTTTTTATTAAAAAAATAATTAAAGCAAATTATATGCTCTTTAAGTGGAAGTACAGTACAGTACTGTACCATTTATGTGATAAAATGTCCTGAAGATAACCACTCGGAACATGACCCCAACTCAACATGGTAAACTTATGGTAATTCTGGCACAGTATCAGCATGATTGAGATTTGTTCCAAAACATTCTCACCCTAATTTTATCTGATTTAATATGAACAACACATGTTAATTTTGCCTTTGAGTTATTCTTGCCGGCTCTACAGCAAGACTATTATGACAATCAAAGCTTGGGACAACAAATTTTATAACTATGTATTCTCATATACTGAAGCCTCGTAAATCTGAGATTGTTTGCACACACGAATTGACGATAGAATGTAAATTAATACCAAACTCAAGAAGATATGTTATTGTTTAATGTCTTTGATTTCAGGTTTATTCAGGTTCATGTACAATAGTTAACTATTTTTTTCAGTATTCCGTAACACTACAAAGTGAGGAAATTATTGCTGAATCATGCCGCCAGCGTCCATCTCTAAAACCAATGGTCGTGCCTTATAGCAAGGCTCATGAAGTGTGTCTCAACCTGTCACACACACACCTCCTGCTACCAATTCCTCTACATGTTACACCAACTTTTAACACAGATATGGGTAAGTTTTTTATTATTACAGTATACAGTCATGTCACATCTTACACTGGGGTTAAGTTCTGAAGAAGGTGCATAAAGCCAAAAACGTGTACTGTACAGGGGGCCCCCAAGTTCACTGATTTTTACTTCGCAGTTCTTGGCAATTCGCGGATGACACCCTGGATGTACCCAAGAATGTCTGAGGGTAGTTTTAAAGTTGCCGGCATTTTTGTGGCTGGGACAGGGAGCCATTCGTTCTAGAGACAGTAATTTCCTTTACCTGTATTGTAAATATGTGTGTGTGTGTGTGTGTGTGCGTGCGTGCGCGGTGTGCGCAGGCGTGCGTTAAGGCATGGCGTGCAACACACAGGTTGACAACCCTTTATCTGAAATTGCGAAAACCAAAGTTTTTTGTGGAGCATTTTTAACGTGGTATTAGCCCACCAGGCATAGATCACTGACCCACATCGGGGCCTGGGGGTAAAATGTAATAGTAATACTAATTATAATAATAATAATTGTTCATAGTAAATAAAATTTTAATAAAAATACACCAAAATAAAATAATAATAATAATAAAAAATAATAATAAGAAGATATAATAATAAAATTAATAATAATAATAATAACAATAATACTGTATTAATAAAATAATAATAATAATAATAATAATAATAAAATACAAGAATGAAAAGATAAAAGTGAGAAACACTTACCTAGACCTATGAATTATTATTATTATTATTAAAATTATTATTATATTTTCGCCTCCCAGGCCCCAATATGGGTCAGTGACTTGTGCCCGGGTGGGCTAATACCACAATAACAAAAACAAAACAAAACAATATTTATGATTTCGGATAAGGGATTGTCAACCTGTACAAATAAATAATAATTGAAAATCCTCTCACAAATAATCAAAAACAAATTTATTGACAGTCTTCCCTCAAGTTCGTTCTCTATTACAGTACTTATTAATAGAGCACGAACTTGAGGGAAGACTGTCTTTAATAATTTTTTTTTAAATATTTGTGAGAAGATTTTCCAATATTATTTATTTGTACTGAACAGGTCCCTCTCGGTACCTGCACAATGCCCAGAAGGTTGCTCGTTAACCGAAACCATTGTTTCAATGGGTTTTGGGTAATTGT